AAATTAGGCAATCCTTATTATAAGTTATATATTCTTGGAAAAGAGTCAGTTCAACAAATGCATTATCTAGCTATAGATAAACAAGGCATCTGTAAAATACCCACAGGAATAAGATACTTGTTCTACCCTCAAATAATTCATTACCAATTATTTGAGGGTAGGACAAGGTGTATACACCATTTGTGATGGTAAAGGTAAGGTCATTATCAGTATTTTTTATTGATAAAATTTATTATATTCTAGGTGCTGTGCTAAAAGTTTGTGATCATTTTAAAATTTCACTGTAACTCTAATTATTATCCCCATTTTACAGATATAAAAGCAAAGGGTAAGAGACTTGTTTAATATCATACTATTAGTGCCAAGGGAAACCCTATTCAATCCAAAATGATCTTTACTGCATTGCCTGGTACTATGTGGCTGTGGTACCTGCCTTGCCCCAGGAGAGACTGTGATAGGTGCTATAAAAATGGTAGAGACTGAATTCTAAGCACATAAACAAAAATCTACACATAGATAGATAGATAGATAGATAGATAGATAGATAGATAGATATAGAAGCCTAAGCAATTGGTTGACCAGTCATTATGACAAACACTGACCACCTGGGGGCAGACACTCAATGCAGTAGATGCCCCCTGGTGGTCAGTGCCCTCCCACAGCAGGAGTGCCACTAAGCCAGAAGCCAGGCTCACAGCTGGTGAACTCAGCTCCAGTGGTGGGAAACTCTCCCACCTCTGCAGCGGGTCTGCAGCTACAGGTGCAGTGGGGCTGGGATGAGCAGGAGCAGTGGGAAGCCCAGCCTGGGCTTGGGCTCGTCCCAGGCCGTCTGCCACTTTGCACACTACTACATCCCTCAGTGGATGTCAGACTGCCGGTTTTGGCCTGATCCCTGCAGGTGGGCTGAAACCAGCAGTCCAACATCCCCCGAGGGGTCTCAGAGGGTGAGAGAGTGCAGGCCAGGCTGAGGGACCCCACCAGTGCATGAATCTGTGCATCAGGCCTCTAGTTGTAATATAAGAATCATTCTCAACCAAAAGTAAATGATATTGATATTACCTATGTCTTCCACATTTTGCTAGACTGAAAACTTGATGAAAAATTAAACTTTGTTTTCCAAAAACCATTATAAACATGGACCATGTAGATCTGACTTTTGTGTAAGAGGCTCTTATGTCCCTGGACACCTATAACATGCAGTGTCAGAAGTCCTTGTGCATGGAGAGTCACTGAGGCAAGGGAGAGGCAAGAGTTTCCAATGGAGCTGATCTTGACTGATCCAAATAGCCACCTGCCATTTTTCAAGAGCATTTGACTTCTCAAAAACTATTCTAAGGTTCAATTTCCCTAGCACCTACCACTCACTCCTTTATTTATTTACTTAGATATGTTTTTATTTTTATTTTTTTAATTTCTTTATTGATGAAGGTATTACATATATGTCCTTATTTCCCCATTACCCATATTCATGCCCTTAACTTCCTGTTGTCTGTGTCCATTGATTAGGCTTATATTCATGCATATAAGTCCTTTGGTTGATCTTTCCTATTACCCCTACCGTCCCCTGTGAGGTTTAATGTTCTGTTTGATGTTTCTCTGTGTCTGGATCTGTTTTTGTTCATCAGTTTATGTTGTTCATCATATCCCATAAATGAGTGAGATCATGTGATATTTATCTTTCTCTGACTGGCTTATTTCACTTAGGATAATGCTCTCCAGTAGCATCCATGCTGTTGCAAATGGTAAGAATTCCTTCTCTTTTACAGCAGTGTAGTATTCCATTGTATCACAACTTTTTAATCCATTCATCTGCTGATGGGCACTTAGGCTGTTTCCAAATCTTAGCTATGGTGAATTGTGCCGCTATGAACATAAGGGCGCATATATCCTTTCTGATTGGTGTTTCTAGTTTCTTGGGATATATTCCTATAAGTGGGATCACTGTGTCAAATGGGGGTTCCATTTTTAGTTTTTTGTGGAAACCCCATACTGTCCTCCACAGTGGCTGCACGAGTCTGCATTCCCACCAGCAGTGCAGGAGGGTTTCTTTCTCCGCATCCTCACCACCACTTGTCATTTGTTGATTTGTTGATGATAGCCATTGTGACAGGTGTGAGATGGTAAGGCATTGCACTCCTTAAGCCTGCAATTGCATAGCAGCTGCCTCTAACCCCTATAGGTTTTATGGGCCTTCAATACATGTTACAACTCATTATTTACAGACTTAAAGAAGTCCTGCCATTTCCAATCCCACTCTCTACCTGTCAATTTACACTTGGCCCATTTTGAATTTTAAGCCCAGACTCTATACATTTGAGTTAATAAAGTCTGCTTTATTGTCTCTCCAAGGAAAATTTAAACATGAATAAAATGATCTTCTCAATGTATTGGCCAAGTTGAAATTGACCTTCTGTCCCTACAGAGCAAGACTATAGATCTGGAGTCTATATACACCTGAAGGTTAAGCTCATTCTACCTCTTGGAATTCAGCCATCAAAGTGTTTGTACCCTAACTGATCATATTTTGTGTCAGAAGCCTACCAGGAATGGAAAGAGAGCCTGAGATTATTCTCAATCAATGCAGATCAAGTGGCCAGTAGAGAAATGCACAAAAATGTTATACTATCAACATTTCTAAAAAAAATAATTGAAGGTAGCTTCTGGGGAGGTGAATGAGTGAGTGGAGTGATGCCAAATAGTTTGCATTCAAATCACAGAGACTGCACAAAATTCCACTTCACACTGGCTAGGAGATGAGTGATGAGCCTCCACTATACTACAAAACTCCCCATACAGGAGTACTCTTCCTTCCCTAAAGTCATACTTGTACTGCCTTTTCTATAAAAATATATTACTTTGCTTAAAGACATTGTATTAGTGTTGGGGTGTTTCAAAGTGATTTATGGACCATTCAACTTAGTCACAACCAAAGCTTCATAAAAAAGCATACAAGCTCACACTAATAGTGCTTGAAGAAAAGTGGGGGGGGTGTGTGGAGGTCCTTCATTAAGCCTGTCCATCACATGCCAAGCCTGTTTTTTTTCCATGAACAATTGAAAACACATGCGTCATTGAACACATTAAAAAGCAAAGAAATGTAGAGACCAAAGGCTCACCCTTCAGTGTTAATGTTGGGCAGCACTGCATGAGTTTGCAGTAATGTAAATCATGCTTGATGGATTATTTTCACATTAGAACTGGAACACTGTTACCACCTGCTATTTCCTCCATTTACAAGGTTCTGATGTAGAATTCATTTAGTATTCAATGATTCCCAATAACGCAAGACAAGAAAACCTTTAGTTTACAAAAAGCAAGAATTGTTTCTGTTCTAAATTTAACTCATAAGAGGAAAAACCCCACAAATTCATTTAATATATAGTACCGTGGTTTATGCTGTCACCTGCATTTTGAAAGGGGATGGAAATAAACTGAATGAAAGTGAGAAAATATTGCTGAGAGAACAAAAGACAATATTCTATACACAGTTAAAAGACTCAGGAATATTTTATATATATATATATATATATATATATATATATATATATATATATTATAGTGATTTCTATTGTGCAATGAAAATGCTATATATATATATATATAGCATTTATATATACATATATATATATATATATATATATATATATATACACACACACACACAAAATTATTCTGCTATTCTGCACTCTCCTGGGTTTGACCTAACACACCCAGTACTTCTGTCTTAATATCATCATTCTCAGTTGTTACCTATTTTAAAAACTCTTCACCCAAGAATATGCTTATTGATTTTATTTTTTTAATATATTTTTATTGATATTTCACAGAGAGGAAGAGAGAAGGATAGAGAGTTAGAAACGTCAATGAGAGAATCATCAACCAGCTGCCTCCTGCACACCCCCTACTGGGGATGTGCCCGCAACCAAGGTATATGCCCTTGACCGGAATTGAACCCGGGACCTTTCAGTCCGCAGATCGATGCTTATTGATTTTAGAGGGAGAGGAAGGGAGATAGAAACATTGATGTGAGAGGAAAACACATGCACCTACTGGGGATCAAACCTGCAACCCTCCCATGTATGGGATGACACTCCAACCAGCTGAGCCATACTGGACAGGTTACACCATTTTAATTGTTACATTTATCAAACTATAACCTCCAGGAAAAGGTCAAGAACCTGTCTGCCCTGGTTACCTTTATAGCTACTATACTTATGAAACTGTCTAACAACAAGAAGGGACTTTATATTGTTTTATGAATGACTAATTAACTGAAGAAGTGGCTGTGACTGTATGTGACCCAACAAGTAGCATTAAGTACAATGTCAATTTTGGTTTGATAAAACATTAAACATTTTCTAACAATCATAATCACTTAAAGCTAGAGATAACTACTGAGGCATTTTAGTAGAGGAGATACCACAAACAAGCATGGGTGTAGTAGACAAGAATCCAACTCTTTGGTCCTGAATACACCTTATGATCTTTAAGATGCTGCTCTCTCTGAGGCTTTATGATTATAACACAGACATTTCCCAAATCTGAGTGATAATTTACACTAAAATCATTAGGACTCTTTTATGTGATTAGAAGTATAGAGACAACTTTCAAATTTAAGTGGCTTCAATTCTCAAATTTGATCTGGCTATACATTTATTTTGCTTCAATTGAATCAAAGGTAATATAGTAACTGCTTTACTATAAACTACTTTGTTTTTTCTATTCACTATGCTATCATTTTGTTTGTGTGTGTGTGTGTGTGTGTGTGTGTGTGTGTTTGTGTTTCAAAATGGGCCCAAGAGTTGACTTCATAGATCCAAAATGGTATTCCTTACTAAAAATGGCTTTATCATTTTGGCCATTTGTAGGAACAAAGTATACCAAAGGGAATTAATAAAATTCTTTCACCCTCACAGTACTGTGTTTAATCATAGAAAATGATCTCTATACTTCATGAAACAAGTGTCTTCTATTAATCACAGCATGGCTAAGCTACTTACCACAAAAGAATAATAAATCTTGAATCCAGGTTTAGCCACAAAGTAGTCATCAGACTTAAATGTTATTTTAATTTGGTTTGTTCTTGACGTGATCCTTGGAGGAACTTCCTTGTGTCCACACCATCGACCTCTAATAATGGTACTGGTTTCAGATACATCTTCCACTTCCACAAAATCATATCTAGTATCAATTTCACAAAAGAAACAAATTTTTTATTAAAGTAGTGTTTGAAATATACTTTCACCTATAAGTTAAAACTAATATATGTGATTTCTTATTACCTACTAGGTAGAATAAAAATTATAACCTACAGACATGTTAAAATCAAAGCTAGTTTTTGCATGAGGTTTTCTAAGTACAAACTTCCACAATGTTCTGAGAGAACCTTTAAATACAGTTAGCCATGATTGCATGACTGTTCTCAAATCATTAATAATCAAAACGGGCCACATTCCGAGCATCTGGCTTATAAGGTTTGCCTGAAAAAACAAACTAATAACTATAATCTATCATCATATTTGAAAAGATGTTAACCTAACTATATGGTAAAATATTTGCTATATAAAGTTTTTCAGACAAATCCCACTTTGAATTAATTAACCACACCAGTACTTTCTTTAAAAAGGAACTAATCTGTATCTGTACAGCATACAGAACCAGCATTTTCATTGCACAATAGAAATCACTAATTTTTCTTTTTGGACACTGTCTTTTGAAAGGATAATATAATTAAATATGACTGTCATCAAAATGGAAAGCATATGACTTGGGTAAGGATGTGTGCTAATTAGAACTGTAAATATCTGGGCTGGTCAAACCAGGATGTGAATGAGCCTAAGACCATAGGTTCCTCTTTGGTATTGGTCAGAGAAACATGGAATGCCAGAATTGAACTTCTTTAGACATTCCATACAGCCATTTGATTCCCAAGGTCCGTCCAGTCCATCCCACCTTTCCATTACACAATAGGACATATTCAGTGACAGAGTTGCCATTCTAAGGACCATTTATACTATTTTCAGACACTCAAATCTTGGGACATTGACTTGATGAGCTGAACTATTTGCCTTTGGGTTCTGGGCATCAGAGTCTCACTTCTCCCCACTACCTCTTCCCAAATGACTTCTCAATGCAAACAATTTACATTCACAGTGGACAGTGGCATTGAGGCTGGTGAATAAGACTTAGGAAAATTCCTGGGAAAATGGAATGGGGAAACTGAGACAGACAGTTAAATGGCTGGGCAATTTACGACCAGATAATAAATCATAAAGTACTATCTTCCCTAACCCAAAACACTTAAGAGTAAATGGTTTCCACATTCCAGACCATGGGGAGGGCAGACTCACCTCAGTCCTGGTCCCCCTTGGGTGACATTCTTTGAAGGTGAAACTGACCAGATAGTGAGTGACCTTAATCCCTCAATGAGCTCATTTTGATGCATCAGCATACCAAAGTATAGACCTAGGAGGCAGCTGAATATTCTATTGAGATCCTCCCCTGAGACCTCCCCTAACATTCCTGCCTTTTGAAACAAATAAAAACCCTTAAGACAAAGGACACAATGAGCACTCTCTCAGGAGCACACTCCTGCCCTCCACCCCCATTCTTTCCTCAGGCACTTATCTTCACTTTCTTTTTCTAAACTCTAAAGGTTCCCAGGAGACTTGCACCAAGAGGAGAAGCAAGAATGTGGCAGGTTGTCCCAGACTAACCACTGAACCTGTCTCCAAGGGCCTTCTTTTTGGCTATGTAACTTGTTTCCTGAGTCCACACAGCCAAGACGGCTCACTTCTTCTGCCTCCGTGACTTGCTTTCTAAAAGGCCAAAGCATCCACATATAGGCTCAACTCCTCCTCACGTTTCCAAAGGGTCAAGGCAGCTCCACCTCGGCTCACTTCTATGGCTATGATCTTGCCTCTGCTATCTTAAGCCCTTCTTTTCTTTCATTGTCCCCAATTTAATAAACTTACTCTCAAAAATCACCTGGACTTATATCATGAAATCTTTCCTGCATGAAGTCAAGAACCTACACATTCCATACTGTGCCAGGGCAGACCCACATAAGTGACAGCATAAGTCTGTCAAACATTTATACACACACACACACACACACACACACACATACACACACACACACACATACACACACACACTAGTGGCCCAATGCATGAAGATTCATGCAAGAATGGGCCTCCGTCCCCCTTTTTGCCAGACCACCTGTGCTGTGGCCTGAGCAGCCTTTCTGCTCCAGCACAGAGCCACCTTTCTGCCTTCCCACACTGTCTTGAGACCTGAACAGCTGGGGAGATGTGGAATGACTGTGTTGTCGCCTTGGCAATGACACAAATGTCCTGTTCTGTCCCTAGCCACTTGGCACCTGTGTACACAAATTAACCCACCATCTTTGTTGGGCTAATTTGCATACTCACTCCTGATTGGCTGGTGGGTGTTGCAAAAGTACAGTCAATTAGCATCTTACTCTTCTATTAGGTAGATTTTTTGTAACAATTGCCAAAAGTAATCAGCATGAGAAATATCACATTTAAATATAAAGAAAATCTAATTTGGCTTTATGGTCCTACCCATGCACCTCAGAGCTCTTATTGGTTGGGAAGAATAACCTAAGGAGGAGGCAAATATAACAGCATGCTGAGTTAATTTTGTTGGAAGTGATTTATGAAAGCCTTATGTCCTTTGCCTCAATTATCTCATGAGCAGAATAAGAAGGTTTATATGATTTTCTCAGTTGGTCAACTCTTGGGCACTGTATAAACTAGTTACTTAAAGTTTATATGGTGCTTGGAAGGTGAAAAGAGCTAAAAAAGAATTATTTCAAGCAATAACATAATACAGTGTAAACATCAAGGAGGTTTTGGACCAGAGGGTAGAAAATCAATTGCATTTCATTGTATATACAATATGTGTAAATCATATTTACTGCTCAAAGCAGGAGTTTACTGGAAACTTTGTTAAGATTGCAATAGGTCGTTCTTGTTTTTAGGACACATGAGCAGCATAATAAATATCTGCTCCAGGTCTGATGTCAAGAGAGCACAACTATGTTTCTTAGGGAGCCTTCCGAGGCAAGTCTCTGAACTGTGTCTTTCCCTTCTTCCTCACCCCTGTCCACCCCTTATTCCTCTACTTTTCCATAAATTTTGAGGAGCAGCTAGATTGATGGAGGACCAAAATACAAACCATTCTAGCTTTCTCTTCTTCTGTTTTTAAGGCCAAAATGCCAAAAAAGTTCACTCACTACCAAAATCAAAATCCCTGTTCAGCAGTAGAAAACTGGCTTTCTCCTTCCATGTCATCACCTTTAATAATTTTTCAATAGAGGTGTGTGTGTGTGTGTGTGTGTTTCATAAACCTTTTTTTTTTCCAGTGCAGAAAATTAGTTCTTTTTTTCAAAGTTAAAAAGAAACAAGATCCGCTCTAGTTTCTTCTCTTTGTAAATACTGACTGGCTCTTCTTGCACATATTTGAATCTGTATTTGGACATACAGTACCCTCTATGGTCCTAGAAAGTCATAGCCACTGCTATTTTTCTTGAAAAAATATAGCAACATAATAAAAACTGTCAGCATAATAAACATGCAACAAAGGACAGCAAAATTTGAGACTCCCCCTTTTTTTATTATTCAAAGAAAAATAAGCCTGCTGGAAGGTTTTAGCAGCTTAGTGTTCATTGGCAATGCAGAACAACTGTGTGCAGTTAAGTACAGAACAGAAAAAAGTCCTCCCTGAGTCTTATATATGCTAATTAAGTGAATAAGATGCTTGGAGAAGACAATTCAAAAAACAACAGTCTGGGCTTTGTCTGATAAATATGCCACAAAAGGGAGATTATCAGCCATGGTTTTATCTTCCAATGCTGACTCAGACACTACAGGAGACAGACCATCTGAGGGGCCCACAGTCCCTGGGGTTGCCACCTCATCCTTCTTACACACACCTGAGACCCTAAAACTATGATTTCAGAGTAAGGGCCTGACACGGTAGGTCCTTGCTGTCACCCTCTCCCAGGGCGGGGGAACCATCTCTGTGCATAGGTTACATAGTCTGCTTAGTTCCTGGAGCCAAGAACTAAGGGTACACACTCCTTGAGCCCAAGGCTGACTTGGGCCAGAGCCACAAGCCTTGGCTGCAGGTGATGTAGGGTTATTGGATGATCCATCTACTCACAGAGGCTGTGGTAGGCTGGCCAAGACTAAGGCATGCAGACTCCTGCCTTCCCTGGGTGTGAAAGTGAGGTTACTAGACCCTCCACAGCCCCGTCCATGCCCCAGTTGATTTTGCCTGTTAAGACTGACATAAGACTTTTTGAGAGAGAAGTGGTACATCTTGAGTAGGTCCAAAGAGCCCCAAAGGGGAGTTTGATATAATGCTTTTAAATTTATGTTTGTTTGTTTTTGTTTTTCTACATTGGAAGAGTTCTATCAACTGGACATTTTTCGCCACTTACCTACAGATATCGTTTTCTGCTTCCTCTAATCCAAACTGATTGTCAAAGGCCAGCTGTATCCTTGTTTTGTCCCGGGAGCGGAGCCGCCATGTCAGAAGCAGGTTCCTGGGGTAGCTGTTCGGGAAGCGGGGGCTCTGCAGGTGGCCGTTGCCTGTCACCTGGATGGTCTCGTCTCTCCGGTACAAGTCTGTGAGGTGATTGCTCTCTGTTAGTAGTCACAACTTGTAGAAATTAGTATGTTGCTCCAATTACAGGAAAGCAAAAAAAAAAAAAAAAGAACAGTTTAAAAAACATCACATTTCAAAGCACTTCTCGATTTTGATTAAAAACATAAGACCAAATGGTAGCCCTTTGGTGAAACAAATAACATAGACATTTCTTCTGTAACCACCTGCTTTCCAAAATCCCTCACCCACGTAGACGTGATGACAAATGCTTTGTATTGGAGAGGCTCTCTTAACATCATATTTGACAAGGAAAAAATAACAATTATCCCAGAACTCAGGTTCATTTTGATTGTAGTTCATTCTCCATCTTTTCTTTATGTTTTTAATTTAAATTCATTAAATTCATTATTGTTTAAGTATTACATATGGCTCATCCCCCCCCCCCCTCCACTAACCCCTTCCTAGCTACTCCCACCTCTCAGCACCATCCTTCCTCTTTTTAATGTAATACAAATAAAATTATTAAAAAAAAAACAAACAGGGACAGTGTAATGGCATACCTTATTGATTAGCATAGGAGGTATACATTCAATAAATAACGCTGTATAAATGTACCCATGAGTGAAAAACACATTTTAAAAACCTAATGGTGTTTATAACCCTAATTTTACATTCAAGTGATGTTTTTCCATGGTTTCTCCATCATAGAAATTATATTTTTTGCATTAGTTTTTCATGACTTAAATAGATCCAACACATCTTTTATTTCCTGTGTGTTGTTTGTTTAATAGCATTTTTTGTTTGGTCTTTGTCCTGAGTTCCTGAGAGGGAACTTCTAAACCCTTAGAATTTTGCAAGTAATAGAAGTGCTCTTTCTCATGATGCTCCCCTGGGGCCACATTATGCTAATGAGGTGAGATACTTGGAACCCCTAAGTAGTTTCAGGAAGGGTGCTGGCCTCAACAGAAAGACCAACATGAGCTCCGAGCCTGGGAATCAGCCTGGAGAGAAGGAGCATTGGGAGGTGAGTTTAATCACATTGCTTGTGATTCAATCCGTCTTGCCTACAGAATGAAACCCCATAAAGACTCTGGCCATGGGGGCTTGGGCAAGCCTCCTGGTTGGGGATGCACACTGATGTGCTGGGAAGGGGATCGTCCTGAGGGAACAAAAGCTTTGTGCTTGGGATGCCTGGGACCCTCCCAGACGTGCTTGCCACATGTTCCTCTTTATTTGGCTGGTTCAGATTTGTACATTTTATAGTAATATTGCGATTTTAACTATAGTACTTTCTTAAATCCAATGAGTTGTTCTAGTATGAATTTAAAAAAAAAAAAAAAAAAGGTTGGGGGAGGTTCTATGGAAAGTGACCTCACAGGGTGACATGATCACAAATTCTTAACTGGGCAGGTCATGGTGGGTAGTCAAGCCCCAGGCATATGACTTTTTAGTAACAAGTTTATATTTGCCTTAAGCAAGGCCTGTCCATTGTTTCTGTGCATCTAGGTTCACACGCTTTTGAAATAAGCCATGACCAGCTGCAAAAAGCACATGATCTTATTAACTATTCTGTAATCTGTAATCCAACCCCCCTCCTTGCTTTTCCCCACCTCCACAGAGGCTTCCTTAAATTCCTCCCTTAATTTCAAACGCATAAAAGAAACTGCAAAACTGTTGTTCTCTGGAGCATTTGAGAGCTTGCTCCCCAGCATGTGTCTTCAGTTTGGCTCAAATAAACTCTCATAAAAATTCTCTACAGGCTCTGGCAGGTGTGGCTCAGAGAGGTCACAGGTTAGATTCTCTATCAGAGCACATGTCAGGGTTGTGGACTTGATTATCAGAAGGGGATGTGTAGGAGGCAGCCCACTGAGATAGATGTTTTTCTCTCCCTCTTCCTTCCTATTTCTCTATTATCAATCAAAACATATTTTTAAGAAGTTATTAAAAGGTTTAGACTTCTGCCCTAACTGGTTTGGCTCAGTGGATAGAGCATCAGCCTTCGGACTGAAGGGTCCCAGGTTCCATTCCAATCAAGGGCATATACCTTGGTTGCGGACACATCCCCAGTGGGAGGTTTGCAAGAGGCAGCTGAATCAATGTTTCTCTCTCATTGATGTTTCTAACTCTCTATCCCTCTCCTTTCCTCTCTGTAAAAAGTCAATAAAATATATATATATTTTTAAAAATGTTTGGACTTCTTACATCAACACTACCAAATTCTCAAGCCTGAGGCTGTGGGAAAGGCTGAATTTGTAGCCCGCTGGTCAGAAGTGCCAGTAGCCTGGGGACCACCGAACTTGTAGCTGGTGTCAGAAGTGCAGTCTTGCAGGGACTGTGCCCGTAACCTGTGAAACCCGATCTAACTCTCGGTAGCTTGTATCAGAATTACATTGCACAGTGGATCCATTTTTCATTTCTCCCAGGATCCAGAGTTCTCTTTGCGCTTCAGATTTTGGCTTTTTAGGCCCCTCTATAAGCAGACTCCAGCCACAGCCTATTTCTGTTTCCCTGCAGAGAGTTCACTGTGGGGCCTGTAATTCAGTGTGCCTGGTCAGGAAGGTCTAAATTGCTGGCGGAAGCCACTCAGAGGTTAGGCTGCTGAGGGTAGCTCTTAAAGTTTCCAAAATAAGAGAAGGCATGTGAACAATGAGTCAGCCTGAGGAATGTAGTCTTCTCTCCCTTTGACAAGTATTCCTGTGCATATGGGAATATCCAGGTCACTGTCTTTACTCGTGCTGTTTGTAGTGTTGCACTGGCCCAGTTAAACTTTGTGTGGGAAAGAGAGTCCTAGGAAGAGCCAGGTGCTAGAGGAAGTCACACTCCTGTCTGCAGACTAGGGCACTGACCGCGCAGTCACCCCTCCAGTGAGCTCGGTTAAAGGAAACACGCAAGGCCAGAAACAGTTTTGCCAGCTGACCTCTTATTCTTCTCTTCCTTTGACCTTATGCTGAAAACATAGCCATGAGAAGTACTTGTCTGCTCATTTAGGAAGTGGGTGAAGACTGTAGGGAGTAGGGTGACAGGTGTGAGCTTTCTTTTTTTTTTCTTTTTTTCTTTTTTTTTCTATTAGGCTATCATTTTATTTTATTTTATTTTTTTACATTTTTTTTTATTAAATTATTATCTGTGTACATATTTTAACATTGCCCCCCCATACATATCTCCCTCCCCAGAGTTTTGTGTCCATTGGTTGTGCTTATATGCATGTATACAAGTCCTTCGGTTGATCTATTATCTCCCAGGGGTGAGCTTTCCATGAGTCAATCAACAATCACTTATTAAGCACAAACTCTAATCAATGCATTGCAATATTTTCAATCCTTCTATCTCTTGCTTATTATTTTCACATTTTGCCATATTTTCTTATCTCAGTACTATTATTTAGTTATAATTTCTCTAAATTAATATTTCTAATCAAAAGCATATCTATTCTAGATAAAACCTTATATCAACAATGTAAATAGCAATGGATACCATATGCCATGAATAGAAGATAACTAATAAATCTGAATATATAACTATTAAATTCTTAAATAACCCATCTCAGGTATTCAGATTCCTCATTTTTAAATAAGAAGATTGAATAGCATATTTTATGTGGTCTCTTTCAGGGGTTTTTGTTTTGTTTTATTTTTTTGTTTTGTTTTTTGTTTCTTTGTTGTTGCTTTTAACATTTATGTAATTTTATATTTTTACTGTTCCAGAAACTATGTTAGATTCAAATATAATTCAAGAATGTTTAGAGAGCAGCTTTGAAGACCTAAGAAACAAAGTTGATGTGTACCATCAGAGCAGGGGGAGCTACAGGACTAGCATGGTGAGTACAAGGTGTGTGCACGGCTCACAGTGGGAGGACTAACCTGAGCACATTCCAACGGTTCATATTGGAGGATTGGGGTGGTAACATACTTTAAAGGTAAACTACAGAAAGATTTGAAAGACAAATGTACCTGCACTTGATATAGGTGGAAACAGGAAAGTTCTGGAAAGAGTAAAAGGCCAGTGCAGTGGTCCGCAAACTGCAGCTTGAGAGCCACATGCCATTTCCCTCTCTATTGATTAATGAGTGTGCCGACCATAGCCTTAGGAAAAAACACTTAAAAAACATTTTAATAATGTTCCCTGTTTCCCCGAAAATAAGACTGTCTTATATTAATTTTTGCTCCCAAAGATGCGCTAGGTCTTATTTTCAGGGGATGTCTTATTTTTCCATGAAGAATACGGTACACATTTATTGTTAACTGAAAAAAAGGAAATTTATTACCTGTGTACAGTACGGTAGCATGGTAGTTGTCAACACAAATCAGACAAACTGTGAATCCTACAGTATCAAGAATTTACTCATTTATTCAATGACAATCATGTCATAATCTTCTGGAACATCATTATAACATTGTTGTTATGTTATTCAATTCCTGAATTCCCTGGTGAATTTCTTGTGACTCCATTTCTTTCAGAATCAGTGGACCAAATCTCTCATGTTTAGCCTAGGGGGAGCCTTATTTTCGGGGGATGCCTTATATTTCACTCAGAAGGAAACCGGTAGTAGGTCTTATTTTCGGAGGATGTCTTATTTTCGGGGAAACATGGTACTAATGTCTTTAACCTGAAGTCAAAACTTCTGGGTAAGGGTAATGCCTTAGCAGTGGTCAGCAAACTCATTAGTCAACAGAGAGGCAAACCACGGCTTGCGAGCTGCATGTGGCTCTTGAGCCACAGTTTGCCGACCACTGGGCTAGTGGAGGGGAAGATCATCAGCCTGTTGGTGCTGTGGAAAATGGTCTGCAGGAGGGCACCTGGAAGGAGAGCACCCGAAGGCAAGCACCTGCCATGAGACCGTCTCCTAGGAGTCCCTCCTAATATGCAGAGAACACAGTGGCCTCAGCTGATGCCTGAAACAGAGGATAGTCCACAACCCTATATTCTCTGTGTCTCCCTATACATACAAACCCATGGTAATGTTTAATTTAAGAGATGAACAATAACTAATAACAAAACAAAATAATTGTAAACGTATATCCCAATAAAACTTATGTGG